GGAATATTGAAGAACTGGGCTTTATCCCCTCTACTGGCTGACACCAGTCTGTACCTTGCGGCGGGGTCGATGCGGAGTGTGCTGAACGTCAAGGCCCCGTCTCCAGTAGTCACTGCCTTGGTGCCATTTATGTACGCTTCGTCCGGTACCCCGGTAAAATCAATGCCGTATTTGTTCTATAAAGGTAAAATGATGTATAGAAATCAATGTGTAAAACTAAGAAGGCATTGAATTAGATACATAAAGCGCATAAACATCAAAGTTGAGCCAAAATGTGTATATTAAATAAACCGGAATGATCGCATTTCCATGACAACACAAATGCCCTTATTGTGTTGCACTTTGCAAGAGAAAGAGAGAGGGAGAGAGAGGGAGAGAGAGAGATCTCACCTTTAACCACGCAGTGGCTCTCTTCCCCTCAGCAATGGCGTCCGTCTCAGAGCGACCAGCCAATCTATGATGAGCCAGAATATCACTGCGTTTTCCTTGGACGCGCCTTATAACATCAACAGTTCCATCCATCACGAAGGTGAGGACATAGTTGTGGCAAGGCGTCTCAGGTTTCTGACACGTGTCCGGATGTCTGTTCTGGGGGAAGTACTTGTAGAAGTACATGTATGGTTTTGGGTAATATGTTCCAGTGCTGGTCACTCCGGAGTTGACCATGGAGGCCACCAGGATGAAGGCCAGGGTGGAGAAGAGGAGTTTCCTATAGTGAAGATTGGTGCAGGCAATTAGGTTATGTTATTTAAACACACACACACACACACACAAACACACACACACACACACACACACAGAGAGAGAGATAGAGAGAGAGAGAGAGAGAGAGGAGGGATACAAGGATTCTAAACCAAAGGCAAACAATATGCAGAACGCCTGCAATCACTCACCTGATTAAAACGTCCATGATTAAAGATGTACTAAGAGCTGTCTAAACAAACTCTTTATATAAAACAGACTCCAATTAAGACACAAATGACTAATAAGCAGTAAAAATGCAGATTGGAAATAGTTCATAATGTTCATAATGGGCTCTTAAGTAACTTTAGAGTTCGTTAGGGGAACATATTTGTTCTAAATGTCTCTTTGATTAAAAAGATACTTGTTCTCAACATAGAATAACAAGTTTTATTACGTGACTTTTCTAAAGTCACTTTAAAGTAGGGCAATGTCTTCCTTTCACCAATAGATGTGCTTTAGTATTTACATATTTACTGCACCTCTAATTAAAACATCAATAGTATTTGGTATACAGAGTAAAATATTGTTACAAAATCAAGAAATACGTTACCTTAATAATATATGTCCAAGCGATTTTGGCATTATTTCACCATTGGGAATTCCGCCTATCCAAGCTCTGAGAAAACAGGAGCATTTGGCGTCCAGATAAAATCTCTAATTTATATTCTCCCCCGTTAAATACGGCATATTGTTACGTAATGGATACAATGAAAAAAGACAACGAAATAAATTACTTTAATATTTCATTTTAAGTATATTTATAACTCTGGCTGTTATCGTGGGAGATACAATAATCAACGCCATTTGATTTTAGCCCGTACGTTTCACAGGCAACACAAAACCGTACAGTTAGAATTGTACGAATAACTGATCATGGGGGCAAGTTCAAGCAACAAAAATGTCATGTCAAAAAAGTTGATGATAGAAAAATAAATAAATGAAGATTAAAATTTAATAAATATAATAATATTATTAAAGTAAATTGAACTTAAGGAACTTAGTGAAAATGCAAATAATAATAATAATAATAATAATAATAATAATAATAATAATAATAATAAATAAAATATAAAGGCGTATATTTTGAAACCGCTAATTTGCACAACAGACATATAAGTAAATTGCAGTACAACAAAGCCAAAATAAGTCAAACAGTAATGGATAGCATGTAACTTTGCTGCTTTGGCAACTTGTTTAGGATAAAACTGATTTTTTTCATTCTTTAAATACATTTTCAAACTTATTGAGTAAACGTTCATTTCAGTGAAAATAAACTGATAGCGCTGTTGGCAGTGTCTTCTCTACTACACGTGTAAATCAGGGGAATATTCGACAAGCTTTCAAGTGGATCGGCCATATTTGATCCGTGAATCTGTTAGCCTGTGGACCAACTTGATCTAAATGCGTCCTAAGGCCCCTATTTCACACAGACCATGAATCCCACGAATCGCCAGGAATTGACACATTTCAGGATTCGTGAGGATTCGTGAGATTTTGCCAATTTTCTGGTCTTATTCGACACGCTCACGATTCAGTTACGATACAGGTACGAAAGTGTTACGAATATTCGTGGGATTCGGCTGGAATTGTGAGATTTTGCCAATTTTTTGGCCTAATTCGACACGCTCTACTATTCAGTTACGATACAGGTGCGATAGTGTTACGGATATTCGTGAGTTTCAGCACGAATATTGTCCAGAAATTCACTACGATTTTTTGGAATCGGAAGTTCCTGCCCAAAACTTTGAACAGCTCAAAACTTTTGCCACGAATTCCCGATTGATCATGAATTGCAAGAACTAGCTACGATTATATACGAATCTGTTAAGAACTTCACGAACTGATAACGATTCAACCACGAATCCTGAAATTTTCAATTCCTGGCGATTTGTGGGATTCATGGTCTGTGTGAAATAGGGGCATCAAAGTTTTTGCCACCAATTCCTGTTGGTCAAGAAGTGCAAGAACTGACTACGAATATATATGCATATGTTTAGAACTTCACAAACTGATTGCGATTCAACCACGAATAGTGAAATTTGTCAATTCATGGCCATTCATGGGATTCGTGGTCTGTGTGAAATAGGGGCATAAGAAAGCTACAGGTACATGTATAATACAGGCTGTTCAGAGAGGTGGTACGTGGTAATTAAGAGAGTAGAGCCCTTATCCTAGTATTGCTATTTGATTGAATAATCCGGAAAACTATGACGCTTTCCCCACCATAACAAATGAATTTTGACAAGTGAGAAGAAACAGTCTATAAAAACAGGACTGTATTCTTTATTTTGTGAATTGACGCTTCAGTTGCCTCTCATTAATTTATATACTCGCAAACCGTTTATATTTTAAAATAGCTTTTATTACCAGAAAAGTATATCCACCTCTTATAAGATCCTTTATCAGTGCACCTAAAAGCCATGAAAGTTCAAATAAAGTGTAGCAACGATTACTGAACTGTGTTTGTCATTGATGTAGCACGCAGTTACCCATGTTCCATTCATGAATATCGAAATCATGATCTAGAGGCGGGGAAAGTGAGCACGGTTCTAGCACTCAGTTTATTATCCGGCTCAGTAAATAACACTCCTCGTGCCACGCCATTCCCCCAAGAACTCTCCTTCACATCAAGATTCAGCACGGTTACATCAAGAGAGGAATATGTTTTGCTTTCAAAATGGATGAGGAGTTCCGTCTTTCGGAATATATTGTAGCATGGAAAGCGGAAGTGGGTCCTTCGTCCGGTCTCGTGATTGCACAAGGTGATGACGTAATCGCCATACAATATTCTTGCGCCTTTAGGAAGGGTGCTTCTGAAAGTGCCATTCGCTTGGAATTCTTCATTGACTGTAACCATCCAACCTGAAAGAAGGATTATATAGTTACTGAAACTACTGGTAGTGATCCACCCCATCTGAATGGAGCTGTGTTTGTAACTGTTAGTGTCGGATTAACACCGGAAATTGTCTCTTAAAGAGGCCGCCGTAAATTCATCTGTATCATACAGATTTTTGAGCGATATTGGACAGACAAATTTAGTACTTTAAATAAGAACTGAAGGGGTAAGAATAAGAATAAGCTGATTTCTCGATCAATAAATTAGTATGCACGTCATTATTATTATATAATAATATAATAATAATATAGAAAGATATTTAAATTATGCTAAATATGCACATAGATGCACGAATGTTCACAAGATACAATTCAACGTACCGGCGTCATACACAGGGGTATTGAAGAACTGTACTTTTTCTCCTCTACTGGCTGACACAAGCCTGTACCTGGCGGCGGGGTCCAAGATGAAGGTACTGAATGTAAAGGCCCCGTCTTCACTAGTCACTGCCTTGGAGCCGTCTATATACGCTTCGTCCGGTATCCCGGTGAAATCGATGCCGTATTTGTTCTAAGAGTATAACAGAATACAATAATATTCTAGAAAAGCATACGTTTACAGTTTCTACACATTGAATATTCGTATACATGTGAATTAAATAATATAACTAGAACTGAAATTACAATAGATTTTTGAAAAAAGAGAGAGAAAGAGAGACAATTTTCACCTTCAGCCACGCGGCTCCTCTTTTTCCCTCCTCTATTGCGTCTGTCTCAGAGCGACCGGCCAATTGGTGGTGAGCCAAAATATTGCTGCGGGATCCCCGGATATTTGCTAAATTAGCAGACCCGTCCATGATAAATGTTAGGACATAGCTGTAGCACGGCGTCTCTGGTTTCTGACACGTGTCCGGGCGGACATAATTGTAGGAGTACATGTGTGGTCTCGGATAATATGTTCTAGTGCTGTCCACGCCGGTTCTGGCCATGGAGGCCACCAAGATGAAGGTCAAGGCGGAGAGGAGTTTCCTATATTGAAGATAGGTGCAGGGAATTAGGTTATGTTATATTAAAGGGATAATAACTCTTCGTTTTGGCCAAAAAATGAATTTTCCTGGAGNAGCGCTGAAGAGATGAAAATAAACACAGATTAAATCAGATTCAAAAGTTCACTGATTAGTTCTCTTATGAATAAAAACAATATGCTAACTTGTAATTATTTTAATATCTTTAGATTTAATTAAATATTGCACTGTTACATTTTAGTACTATTCGCATTTTTTCTATTGCAAATTTGCAATGCTTTTAAACATATATGACCACCATTTTTATATTTCACTTACTACACATTGACACATTACAGAAAACCATGTAACACAAATATGTAGTATTTGAGACTGTTTTTATGATACCAGACTTACAATACATGCTTCCCTCGCAGTATGTTGTGTTGGATCCATTTCAATTACTTTTTTGTAATCTTCTAATGCCTCATCTAATTTTTCAGTCTTTTCATACATTTCTGCCCTCCTTAAAAGTGCTTTGAGATAATTAGGATTAAGTTCTAGTGCTTTGGTACAGTCTTCAATAGCCTTTTCGTACTGTTTCTGAAAAGAGTTTTTTTTCAAATGCCTCAAAGAAAACACCCTTAATACATGCCTAGTATCAATCTTTAAATGAAGAAAAATTATCACAGCTTTCGTTATAAAATATTGTTTAAATTATATATTTCAAATTGTGAAACAATCTAGGGAAATCATTCTATCAATTGAAATTGCTTAACTTCAATAATAATAATAACACCTCAAAAACTTACTAAATGGAGTCTACATGCAGCTCTGTTGGAATACATGATAGCCCTTTCCTTTTGAAAACAAAGTGGACATGTCTGGAGTGCCTGGGTATATGAGCAAATAGCAAGTTGAAACTCACTGGCCTTAAAGTGGCTGTTCCCATTTGCTTTAAGTGCCTGGGCTTCATCTTTTCTAACCTAAAAAAATCATTTAGGAATACATACTGCATTTGCTTTAATTCAAATAATTTTTATTTGATCATAAATAAACTGTATTAACAATATATTTTCAAGTGGTCTGCCTAAATTGTGCAATACACCACAATATAGCGCAACACAGTACAATACACTGAAAAAAAAAAAAAAAAAACAGGTCCATCTGCAGTTAAACAAAAAAAAAAAAAAAAGACATTCCAAACAAAAAAGGGTGATATAAAAAAATATATACATATTACTAGATAATTAATACCGCTGATATAATTTAACAAATTGGTGAGACTTGTATATTGTTGGGTCGGCAGCCAATGGCAGAGAGTGACTCTTCTTCATAATATTACCAGCATGATTTGTTAAGTTGCAACAACAATATTAATCAATTAACAATATATCTTAATATCTTTTGTATCACCTCATTTTGTTTGAAATGACTGTTTATCATGTATACTTGCAACTGGACTTGTTTATTAATGTGTATTGCACTGTGTTTGGCCGTTTTGCAATGTATTGCACCATTTAGGGATACCCATTTTCCATAGCTTCTATCTTCAATGCCTTAAAGAGGTAAATAGTTTTAAAAAGTACTTTATTATTTATACCTGTTTTTCTTCTTCTGACATTTTTTCTTCTAATTTCTTCATGTATTCCTCATCTACAACTATATCATTCTCATCCGGTTTTGTACATTTATCTACATCAGAGTCACTTTCTCCTGCTTCAACTTCATCTACTGGTACATCAGTTCCGCATTTTTGATGCTGAGAGTTTTCATTTTCATGATAATCCTTTTTATTAATACCATAATTATCATCTTTGATGAAGGATTTTTTATCTGAGTCTGATTCATTTCTGGCCTTTTCTTCTTTTAAGGAGTTTTCCAAGTTTTGAGTTAAATCACCAGCTAAATCATTTGGATCAACTGAAGCCATGATTCCAAAATATTTCTAGACCTGAAAATGTTGAATGCGATAAAAATAAAGAAGAAAAACTTTCAAGATTGAGAAATTTAAAACCAAATTCACAAAGCTGTGCACTGCCATAATCTAATCTATGCTTTTACGCCGTTAGTGCTGGAGAGTCATACATTTATATACTAATATTATACATGTATATACATTGAGGTTATCTTGTAAATTCTGGTTAAAAATGTAACCAAATGATTATATTCATTAATTTCTGGTGCTCTTGTAAAAGCTGATGCTCCAAAACAACGAGGCACTTCATCAAGTGAAAGTGGTTGCAGAAAAGAAGTAATTTAACTAGTAAACTGTGCAAAGTATGCCAATCATTCGTATAGAGATATCAATAATTTGTACATGTTATTTGTCTTTGAAATATATCTCTTTCTAAAAATTAACAGCTTATTTCCTCCACATTTGTTTCATAAAAAAGTATTTATAACCTTTAAAACATCCTACCTTCTAGGATCACATCTACCGGAAGTAGCCGGAAGTTGTGCAGTTTTCTAATATACGATTCATGCGCTGTAACGAAAAGTGCATTTTAGAGCAAACAGAGATGTCGATTGTGTATTTAAAGAATACTGTATATAAAATTTGGCTTAGTGCAAGTATTTTTTGTTTATAATAAATCTATGTATGAAGGCTTTTATAAATAAGCGGATTAGATATCAACTCGTAAACTTATGCTCAGCTCCAACTTCCGGATGTTATTGGTTGCATGTACTTTTGGAATTAAAATAGAAAGTGTAAAATGAATGCTGAAAATTGCAGCTTAGCAGAAAAAATAGTTTCTTCTTCGTACGTGCAGCAAGGTGCACAAGCAAGACGGGCAAGAGAGAACTTGGTCAGGCAGTTATTTGAACAGGTTATATATTTATTTGTTTATTTTCTTATTTTATTTTTAAAATTTACAGGTAAATTTTAATGTAAATGCACAAGAAAATGTACCAATGCCTGATATATAAATGTTTGAAAGTGATTTTCATTTTAAACGTGCCTGAACATCAAGTATATTTAGTTGTCCGTTTAGTCTGAAATGACAATTGTAAGGTTTGGTATTACATTTGCAGTATATGCATTTGCTCTTTACTTATTCTAGAAAAAATGTCCTGAAATTGGTTGGGATGACATGAGTATAGAACTGCTGTTACAAGAACTAGCAGTAATGGACAGCAACAATTTTCCAGGAAACTGTGGTGTTGGGGAAAGAGAAGCAAGAATTGCATCAAGACTGGTGGCTAATAGACACTACAAGTTAGAAATTCAAGTACTATATAATCATATATCTAAAATCAGCATTTGTAAGACCTTAAAGTGTGTTCAAAAATACCCCACAGTTTTATTTTTTCATCCTGAAAAGCTTCTCAATTCAGATCAATAAAGCAAAAGTTTTTTCTGAAGAGTACTACCAGTACCTTGTGTCAGGTAGCCATGAAAGCTTGCAATGTCTGCATTCTATGACTGGACATTCATTTAGGACGACATCTGCATTTATGACCTTCACTGGGTATGGTCTTTTTTTTTCTTCACAACTCAAATAAAATGGGGAGGTGTTTTGTATCTTTGCCCTGTGTCATCTATAATGCAAACATTGCAAGCTGTCATGTCAATTATACCTGTAGTGTAATCAAATATGGAATAAAATGTATATCTAATCCAAGTGGGTAATTACTTTGCTAAAAAAGGATACACTGTGCACCTTGTAGTTAGCTCTATAAAAGTTAGAGTAGTAGCAAGATGTGTCTGCATTCAAATGTATATGGATTAAATAATCATATTTCCTATAATGTTTTTCCAGTATAGGCCATGGCATAGGTAGATCAGGAGATATAACAGCTATTCAGCCAAAGGCAGCAGGCTCTAGTTTGTTGAACAAACTTACAAACTCCATGGTGTTGGACATCATCAAGACAGCAGGTGCATGAATATTATTGCAGTCTCATATATAGTTGGTAATGTTAAGAGAATATTAAATCTACCTGTTTAAAGTAAGTATTAACTTAGTGTTATTTATCATTTCCTTGTTAGCTGCTGTTGTAAAAATAGGTAATATATGTAATAGTATGAGTGATATCAAGATAGCAGGCAGGTATTGTAAAGTTTATATTCTTCGCACAGTGTATTCATATTCTTAAATAAGGACATCAACAATATGAATAGAGAAATCACAAGACTTTTAATAAAAACAAACAAACAAATATTATTTTGCTTTCCTATAGCAATTTTATGTCATAACATTAGGTGTCCAGTCTGCAGCCTCTGCATTTGTTGTTCCCATGGCAACAGGCATGAGCCTGGTTCTCTGTATGCTGACATTGAAACAACAGCGACCTGATGCCAGATACGTGCTATGGCCAAGGATAGACCAGAAGTCTTGCTTTAAATCTATGGTTACAGCAGGTATCATTCATGAATATTATTTCAGTTTTTTTTAAGATTTGTTTGATTTTACTTTCACTTTGAAATGGTTCTTTTTTTCTCTCTCTGTTTAAGCATACTATTTAAGCATAACTTGGAAACTATGAAAAATGAACACTCCTAGGTTTGACTTTTAAATTACTTTTTATCATTCTGAAAAATGTTATCAACATTACAAGTAAGAATATATATTTATATACTGACAGGTTTTAAGCCAATAGTAATTGAAAACAAACTTGAGGGAGATGAACTAAGGACAGATATTTCTGCCATTGAATTAAAAGTGCAGGAATTAGGTGCTAAGAATATATTATGTGTGATGACAACAACCAGCTGCTTTGCCCCAAGAGTACCTGACAGGTAAATAGCATATGTGTAGATTTGTACTTTACCTCCGATATTACATATTTTATCATATTCATGATCAAAACCAGTATTTCCAAGTGTTAACATTTTTTGGTTAAAAAAAAACACACTTCCTATTTGCATCTTAAAGCAATAATAACTCTTCCTTTGAGATTCAAAATTCCGCATGAAATACATTGTAAACAACGCATGGAAAAATATTCTATTGTATTTTACCTCTAAAACGGCCGTTATTGTAGTAAAACTAAAATCTTTGCTTGTCAATAGGGCTTTCGTGCCTTTCTTCCCGGTCATCAAGGCATTCGTTGCTAATGACGTAATGGTGTCACGCGGATTCTCGCGTTCATTCGAGACCAAAATAACATATGGTGCCAAACGCATTAATGCAGACGCAGACGTAAGTTGCGAGTTTTTGTACAGTGCGTCGGATAACGAAAAGCCCAGAATGGCACACATTGTAGATATTAATGTATTTTTAACAAAAAGACGAATATATCTCATGAATCTTATATAGTGTTGTTGTTGTCTGCTTTTCCCGCGGTTTTAAGTAGGTCAACAGTGACTATGCAATGTCAGAGAGAGCTCTGTCAGTTAAAATCTCTTAAGAGATTTTAACAAAAAAAACGTACGTTTAGGAAAAAAACCCTGGATTAACTTTGAATGCAGGAATGGGGTCGTTGACCATTGGTAAGTACGGGAAAATTGCCGTTTTTTCCAGGAAAATCCAATTTTTGGCCAAAACGAAGAGTTATTATGACTTTAACATTTGATGATGAGTTCAGGAAGTTCCTGCTTTGTTTTGATGAAAAGTTTTGTTTACCTTATTAGTACATCAGAAATATGCACTTTATTGTTTTTTCTCAAAGGATAGAAGAAGTAGCTCAACTATGTGCCAAACTTGAGGTACCTCATTTAATCAATAATGCGTATGGTGTCCAGTCCTCAAAGTGCATGCATTTGATACAGCAGGTTAGCATGGGAATTTTACTTACTAGTAAATGCTATTTGATTGATTGATTTTTATTAAAAAATTTTTTAACGTTTTGACCAGTAGCCAAATTACAAAATGAAATCAAATACTATTTTCCAAAATTTCATTGACACTAGTGTATATGTTATTTTCAATATCTTTTTTTTTTGTCAAATATATGAATAGAAATAGAAAAACTGATGTTTACATAAATCAGCTTTAACCTCACCCACCCCCAATATAAAATCCTTCTCCCTTTCTTTAAAATGAATTTTGCTTTAGTAAATATTTTTTTTATTGCAGGGGTCTAGAATTGGTAGGATTGATGCATTTGTTCAAAGTACAGACAAAAACTTCATGGTGCCAGTGGGTGGATCTGTAATAGCTGGATTTGATAAAAAGTTTATAGAAGAAATAGGGAAGGCATATCCAGGTATTTCTTTTTCTCAATTTTTATTGTTATGTCTTGCTTTCAAAATATGATGCCAGTGAAAAGCAAATTTGACATCTCACTTTTTATTCCATGTTAGACTAATTCCAAAATGATTGCTACTTGCAAGAACCCCACTTCGACATGTATTATTTTGTTTGGCATATTTTGTTAAAGAAATTAATTAAACAGTATGCAGAAGCAGTATAGCATACCGCTTCCATTTTGATGTTCTCCTACAGGCAGGGCATCTGGTACACCTAGCATGGATCTTTTCATCACATTATTGTCATTGGGAGTTAAGGGTTACCAGCAGTTACTGAAAGAGAGGAAGGAGATGTACAAATACCTATCTGCGGAACTGACCAAGTGTGCAGAAGCCCATGGGGAGACATTATTGCACATTCCACATAATCCAATATCTATGGGTAAGCCTGAAGTTAGTGAATGTACCCAGTTAATTGAAAAAATATTTAGATAAAAGAAATACATTGTTCAGAATTTTATTTCCTGTATATTGCATTAACAATTAACCTAAGCAGACCAAATAGTCAATCATGTATTGCTTTTTGGGCAACAAGTGATAAGGCATGACTAATGACTTAATGACTTTTTTATGCAAGCCATTTTTCAATTACAGCCATGTCTCTGAGGACCATTCCATCAGAGCTGGCAACCCAGCTTGGATCCATGCTTTTTACAAGATTTGTCTCTGGTACAAGGTACGTAGGTGTCTGAAACTACGGCACTGACATAAACTTCTCCAATAGAGTCGAAGTTTGTTCTCCTCCTACATTTATGTACTTTGTTAATGTGTGAAACTTTCTTCCTCTTAGGATAACTATTCTATTAAGCTTATATTGCACACCCTTGTTGATGCTGAGATATGAATAAAATATAACAGTTTAATGTCTGATGATATTGTTCTTGTTTTTAGAGTTGTTGCAACAGGAGAATTGAAGACAGTACAGGGATACACCTTCCATGGCTTTGGTTCTCACACAGACAATTATCCTTGCACATATTTAACTGCTGCAGGGTCTGTTGGGATGACTAAAAATGATGTTGACTTGTTTGTGAAGAGACTTCATAAGGTGCTAGAAAGATGTAAAAAGACTGGAGCAGCAGAAACATTGGAGGAAGATACAATTGAGACGTGATATCTTTGAAAGGCTAGAAGTGTCATTTTGGGATTTGAATGTGTCTGTTATATGATCATCTGAAGTGAACTTTTTTTCTTTAAAAAAATTCTGTTTGGAATTTTATTTATACAGCATTTAAAATAAAAAAAACAATGTATTCTGTGCTCTGCTTCCTTGTATTAGTACTGAAGTGTTGATTCCATGGCCAAGTTACAATTTTCAAAAATTTCTTATATATATATACTCAGTTGATTATGTCAAAGTGTACTGTGGTTAGGTTGATTAGGTGTCTGAGTTAAAATCATATTACTTGAATCTCTAAGTGTATGTTATTTGTTAGAAAGAGCTATAACCTCAGTTTATAGGTCCTGGATGCTTTCAGTTGTGAAAGGAATGGATTGAGTAACTTCAATTATGGCTTCATCTCTCCTCCTGAAGTTAAAATCAGCCTCGGTTCAATTGTCTTTAAAAAGGCCAAGTAAATGCAGCTAACTTGACCTAAATATTTACTTCTATACTACAATTGTCAGCAGAGTTTGGCCAGCCCCACCAATAGTTGGGTTGCCTGGGTTGTCTGAGCTAGGAGACTACAGCCAGAAATAAATGTACTGTAGTGGTCAGTCAGTGAACGTGACTTTATAATCTTTGGAAAGAGAACATGTTGCTATGGCATTAGCACATCCAGTTTGATATGTATATATATTGTTTAATGACAAAAATAAGGTTGTTTGAAAAAGGCCAAATAAAAGTTTTAAAGGGAACAAATTTTCAAACTTGTGTTGATATTTTCATTCAAGATGACTTGATATTTGTATTAAAAGCCCTAGCAAATTTCCCGTGGACTTTGAGGCCAATCATGTCAAAGCGAGTAATTATCTTTTAAATGATCATTTAACTGCTTATTGGTGTCTTTTTCACTATTTCAAATATTTCCTGATAAGTCTGGCGCTGCACTCCCACCCCACTTCCTCCACCCCCACCCCACCGAGAAAACAGAAAAAAATTAACAAAAAGAAGTAAAGTACTGAAAGTACTGCATTAGTTGACCTTAACCCGGTAAATTAAATTAAATCTTAAAGTGGTTGTCACGGTGAAATATGCTACGATCGTGACTGCTTTGAACATTGAGCAACTTCCCTCAGGGAGGTTCACGTTTATAACGACCTTGACCTTTTCAAGGTCAAAATGTGGGGTCTCGTGACGTCAGTTGATAACTAAGGAGTGTGATATGGATGGAGTGAAGGTGCTCTCTCCTTGAAAGAAGGGAAACAACGGAACGAGTGGGAAAACTTCTACTCTATGTGACCAGACATGTTTTAGAGGTGTCATGTTACCAGCTTGGGCGGTCGGGAGAGTGGTTGCTCGAGCGTTTGTCTCAGGAATTAATTATTCTGGTAGTGGTAACCGCGAGAACAAAAGTCTAGTTGAGGATCAGAAGCTTTCCTCTATCCAATTAAACGCAGCAGCATGTGGATACTCAAAGTCATTTTCATCAGCACAGATATTCAAAAAATATATCTTCGGTGACGACTCCTGTTTTATAGCCAGGCATCGACTTGGGGATGTTATAGGTAGGTTTGCAAGGAGATATGTAGTATCAGCGTCTTGCTGGAAATGTGTATATTTTGAGATGCACCAGCACGTGTTTGTCTGACATCTGTGTCGTCCTTTATGCGCAATATTCTAACCCAATCTGTGGCTTTTGTAACAAAAAAGTGCTCTGAAAACCTGTCTGGAATTAAAATGTTGTTAATTTCCCCCCGATTTTAGAAATGAATTCTGTCACACTGATTACCAGCTGACGAACATCCGAAGTTCAGCACTTCTATTAGTAGAGGCTCCAGCTGAAATGCTAGATGAAACTGGACTTGATAATTTAAAGATTGATACCAAGTTAAATTTAGTATTGCAGTAGTGTTTTTCTCTGCAGATATTTCTGTTGAATAGATAAGAGATCACTTTTATCAAAAGTAGTCATCAGTAAGTCATAAGCAAAAAGTAGACCATGATGACAGATAGGATGCAACCTCAGTGCGCTGTATGGAGAAAGACATTACATTTCCATATATATGTAAATTGCGTAACAATTACAACATCAGCTAGAACATGAACATGTCAGTCTGTGTTTTAACAGAGAAAGACACATTTTGTATAATAAGATGTGCATTAAACATTAAAGACTGAAAAAAGTGGTGATTGCGAAATCACTCTTCACAGACAGCTTTATCTTTATCAGTGTAGTGGGAATAAGGTATTTGTTGTATACAAGATCTCATGTGTAGGTATGTGCAGCAGTGAGTACACTTGGCAATTAAAGTGTAAACCCAAGCTTCATCTGTCAGTGAAATCTTTCTTTGATACCTTGTAAGCATCATTTATTATTTCTGTAATACAGTATATGGAGAAAAAGTTAATACTTTTGAAGGACGTAGATGTAACAGTGGAAAAAATGAAATTGACCTTTGGACCCTTCAGAAATAACATGCTGTACATATAAATAAAAAGCTGTAGGGATTTAAGTATACATGTACTTGCAAAGTAAAGGTAATAATTGTATTTTTTGTTATATATATAATAGTATACCCCATGATGGTCGTTATCTAGTGCTGTATATATTTATAGATCTACAAAATATGCAGAAGCCTGTAAGACTGGTTGAAATGTACATGAACTTTGTATTATTGAAATGTACACAAAGTGAGAATTTACCCAGGTAACTTCCATACACAAACTCCTTTCATCAGCATTTGAATGGGAACAAAGCATTCAATAGCAGGTCTTTGAATTTAAATAAGAAAGAATTTTAAAAGAGTTGTTTTGCCTGATTTACTTGCTTTCATGTCTACCTTACGAAGCTAGACTTCTTTAATTTCTGGAATCAACATATAAGATGCAATTAGGTCTTTTAAGTTTCCATGATTTGTAAAATGTAGCATTGCTGGTTTTAATTACTTTTGCATTATTTTATATCTTCATTAATCATCACATAGATGTCAGAGCATTAGAGAATTCACATTAAGTTGACAGGGAGATATAGTGTGGGAAAATACACATACACTGATAACAACCATAAATTATTAGTCATTCTGTAAAAACCCTTTCTCTTTTCTTCCTGCTTTATATTCATATATGTTTATATATTAGATATTGACCAAAGAGTGAAATGTACTGATTTTGGTAATAACACAGTTACAATATACCTCTCACCCACTTATAATCCCTTGTACGCAGTTTGACTTTGAAAGACTTGACATTCCATTCTAATTCTTCCAAATATTGAACCATCATTGATTATGGGTTAGTTCTCAATGGATGAAATAGCTAGCATAGAAGGCATTTGTCTTCTCTGTTGTGTCATTAGCAGAAGAGTGTCTAGACTGGAAGCTGTGAACTATATAAAACATTATGCACTAAGTGATGAACTCTGTAGAATATGTTGTCAAATTGGACATATTTATTTATTTTTGTATGATCAAGATCCATGTAGCTCTGGTAAAGAGCCAACATAATTATATCCAATGATATAATTTATATCCATATGATATAAGGCTATCATTTAGAATAAAAAAAAATTAAATCACAACTCTGTTTCTCTACCCCTATATCTCTGGATTTCTAATTGTTAAATAGTAAGGCACCCAGGTTTTCATTATTATTATAATTTTCAAAGCCATCATGGCGAAGTCTTGAAAATATTTCATTTGGTATAATGAATAAAATGAATTAGGATATTGCATTTAAAATAGTGAAAATGATTGCAGTAATGTATAAAATGAGACTAAAATGTCCAGATGGACTTGAAAGCTTTTTAGATGATCTCTGATCTTCTTTGGTGTTTATATAGTCTTCATAAACTCATGTCAGTGTTGACTTAAGCTGCTCTTGAACATCACCTGGGAGATAGAAAGAATTACTGGAAATTGGTGAATTTTGACATCAGATTAGTTTGGTATGTGGAGAATCCAGGCTATAATGATTTTTTTCAATGGGCAAATTCAGATAATTTGATTATTTTCCAAATCAGATGCCTGGATAACAAAGTCTGATGAGATGTTTCACAAGAACATCTTTAAGTGAATAAGCCAATTCTGACTTATCTTTGTTGAATGTTTTTAAATTTCTTACTTTTTTTAAAAAATCCTTGAGGTATTAAGTTTTACAGTGCCTTCTCTGCTTCCTCCATGATGATGTCAGTTCAGCTTTTTTTTTTTACCTTAAGCATATATTACATATTTATTCATGTCATGGTATTAATAATGTATGAAGAGAACATAAGTTGTGAAGTTGCTATACATGGCTTCACATTCTCTGAGCATGAACCTGTATATTCAGGGCTGGTTTACTGCTTTCATTGTTGAACCATATATGTGGAAATATTTAACATATTTTAAAAGTGAATATATTTCAAAATCTGTTTGATTCAGTAAAATTTATGATGAGTTCAGGCTTAGCTGACCATTTTGTATCTTGTGGTAAACAAAACAGGTAATAGGAAAGTTTTAATGCATACACCACATGAAAGTGCCTGTACTCCTATTTATACATTTCTTTATTGGCAAAGATTCAGATAGAACTTCTTGAAAGGTCAATGAGTCTGAGTTTGTGGGATCTGCTTAATTTCACTTATAATGGTTTATACTTTTGAGCTAATAAGTTGAGGTTTGATTTACAGATCTATATGTACCAGTATTCAACCTTTTTGCTTTTTTGCTTACTAAAATAAAAGAAAACTGGCTCAAATTTGCAAAGAAAAGCCTCTTTGGATTACAGTGGACTTTGGTTTACACTGATTGTTCATATATATGACATATAATTGTAGGTGTGGCTGATGGTGTCGGAGGATGGCGTGCCTATGGTGTCGATCCATCCCAATTTGCACATTCCCTTATGCGCACATGTGAGCGCCTGGTCAGTGAGGGTCACTTCCGTCCCGAATCTCCAGAAGCCATTATAGCTGCAAGTTATTCAGAGCTTATGGAAAACAAAGTACCACTTTTAGGTAAAATATTATGTGGAATAACGTATGTACCTTAGTATAAAATATGCTATATTTTCTTTATGAAATTCTAATCTTTGTGAAAATGTAGCAGTGCATCTTGATGGCATTGACTCAATTTATGAGATTTGCATTTTTTTTTCAAACAAGGTATGGGTGTTTTCTTCTTAAATCATTGAAGGAGGTGGTATATGATTTATCATTACATAAAATGTACATCTATGATTTGTTTTTACTGTTTTTGTTTCTATAGGGTTAGAATTTATGTCATTTTCGATCCAAACTGAAAAAAAAATTGAAAGTGTTCATTTGACCCCCACTTATTGAAGGAAATAAACATTTTTTTTTGTTTGTTTTGCTTCTTTTTCTTAGGAAGTTCAACAGCATGTGTTGTATCACTCTTCCGTGAAGAAAAGACAATCTACACAGCTAACCTTGGAGACAGTGGGTTTCTTCTTATACGTAATGGCAATGTAGTCCACAGATCTGAGGAACAAACACACTACTTCAACACACCTTTCCAGCTAGCAGTAGCTCCACCTATGCAAGAGGGTCTGGTGTTAAGTGATAGGTGAGACGAGATACTTATTAACTGTTTTACTTTACTTAAATTTTGAATCGACATGTATAAGCTGATGTAGGTTTATATAAAGCGCATTCAGAACAAGTTGATCCGCGGACTTACAGATCTGTGGATCAAATATGGCCGACCCACTCAAAAGGTAGCCGCTTATAATCCCCTAATGGTCTCCCTGCCTCCACATGTGCCATCCCAGCAGGGGCTAAGCAATTAAACCACAGAGCAACAAGAATTAATCCGTTTAATGGTGCTTGTAGAGGCAGTGAGACCACAAGAAGATTGAGCGGCTTCCTTTTATGATGGGTCAGCCATATTTAGTCCGTGGATGTTCTGTTTTGAATGCGCTCATATTGTTACTTATGTGAATGTATACCTGTATTAACTTAAAATAAGTTTCTACGCCAATTTGTTTTGTTATCCGTTGAACTTAATATGAAAGAACTGGCACTTTCTTACCACATTTAAGTGGATACTGATCCCAGTGGTAAAGGCAAATTTTGGAGTATGATGTCCATCTCTTTGCAAAACGAGTGAAAAGCATCAGTGTAAAATCAATTACTTTTAGTGACATGTTATTTTTAAAACAAGGCGTCTTGAAAGGGTGAATTGGATTAAAACGTGATATAAGGACAATTATTATCCCATCATCATACATGATTGATGGAGCATCATGCTTTCAGGAGAGGTATTATTCAGGTAGGTTGTAAAAACTGAAAGTGTAGGACACATTTCTTTTTTGACCCATTTACACATGTAACTGTGCTGCAAATAATGTCCTGGATAACACTGCTACAAAGTGAAATTCTAACCTGAAGCCCTAAGGTTCTTTAAGTAAAAAGGTTGTGAAGACAAGTCACAATGGTGTGGGGGGATTTATTCACTTACAGTAGGCTTCTTTGCTGAAGGCATGGTTGCAGCTAGACTGGATCAATAGAAATACCAATAACCAAACAATAACTTACATTTAACATTGATTACGTGATTTGCGTGGGAGATTGAGGGGCTTAAGAGCTTTTCAACATCAATGAATTTCTCCTCTTCAGCTGTGGGATTTTTTGTGGTTTTATCATTATAGATATATTGTTGACAACACCTTAACCCCCTTTTTTTGTTATGCCAAACTTTTATGTTATGTCAAGGACACTGCTTTAGTGTTAACCTTGTAATATTTTTTTTAACTTTTCAATTTTTGTGGTGTATGCAGTGAACTGGGAAATTACATGCCATAAAACCGACAGTTAGGTGTTATGTTACTGTCTGACTTTGAAATAAAATGTTCTCTTTGCAACTTTCTGTCTGCAACCAGTGTCATAATTTATTTAGCCATGAGGGAAGGCGGCATTATTCAGTATACCCAACCCATGTTTGCCAGTTTTAATTGAAATTAAAGGAATTTGGACCCGTCAGAAACTTTTTTTTTCAATTCCTGGTCATGTTAATTGTGGTTGAGCTGCACTAGAATTAGAATGACTGTTACTTTGAACTTGATTTTAATAAAGGTTTTAATATGGAAAAGCAATTTGTTAGCATTTGAAATCTTCTACAGTCAGCTAGGTAAATTTGCTTTTATTCATTAATGGCTAATTTGTGAGCAAGTAAACCCATGCCTGTGATCAATATAAATTTGCTTTGGAAACTAATCGAACAAGTAAATGCCAGACAGATGATCTTGGCAGTCCTAGCTGAGCATCATATCAAGGTGACATTGAATGACATTATCACACCTTGAATCAAGCCAGGGCTACTGTGCTATACTATG